CCAGTTCATCTGCTCGGCCACCAGTTTGATACTGGTTTTCATCTTCTCGGGCGCCGCCAGACGCGCCTGGGCCTGGGCGGCTGCGAAAGGGGGCGGGGCCGAGCGCGGGACACGCCCCCTTTTAATGGGGACACGCCCACAGCGCAAAAAATCCCCTCCCCCCCTCCCCGGGTTTGGTCACACCCAGGGAAAGCCACGCCCACAAAGCCCCGCCCGTTTTATTCAGCCAATCCCCTGCGGGTTTAGCCTTTAGCCACGCCCACAATCAGTGACCACGCCCACAATGGCCACGCCCATTGTGTCATTGCCCACGCCCCCAAACCCACCCATTTACCCAATCCCCTGCGGGTTTAGCCTTTAGCCACGCCCACAATCAATGACCACGCCCACAATGACCACACCCTCACTGGCCATGCCCCCCCTCAAACCCCGCCCATTTTCTCCACACAACCCCCTCGAGCGCCATCCTTTAGCCCCGCCCACCAGCACCGACCACGCCCACAATGGCCACGCCTCCGCCCCACTGACCCCGCCCCTCCAAGCCCCGCCCACTCACGGTCGAGCGCGGCGGGCGGGGCCAGCCCGCGGCTGTGCAGTTGATAGACAGGCTGGGTGGGGCGTGGCCCCTCCCTCTCCATGGGCGGGGCCTGAGCTGGCCCCTCCCCCGAGCTCCCCGAGGCCACGCCCCCTCCCCGAGGCTCCTCCCCCCGCGCTTTCATCAGCACGATGGGCGGGGCCGGGGCGGGAGGGGGCGGGGCTTGTGCCGGCCCCGCCTTCAACGCCGTTGGGGGCGGCTGCTGCTGGGAGGAAACGGAAATGACATCACGGGGGCGTGGCCATGCAAAGCAGGATGGGTTACACCCGGTTTTGGGGTGGCCACGCCCCTTTTGGGGATGGCCACGCCCCCCCAGACTCACCCGCTCGGCCGGGGGCTTGGCCAGGATGATCGGGGTCTTCTGCAGGGTCCCCGCTGGCTCCTCCCCCACCTCCTGGGGGCGGGGCGGGGTCAGCAGAGCCACGCCCACCACTCCCCGAGACAGCCACGCCCACCCAGGGATAGCCCCGCCGCCTCACTGCCTGCTTGGTTTTGTTTATAGGGGCTTAGGCCACGCCCACCCCACTCTGGACACGCCCACCGCCGTGTCAATCATCTCGAAGCCACGCCCCCGCTGTGAGCCACGCCCTCTGCGGCAGCTGTCAATCATTGCCGTGCCCCGCCCCATAATGGCACTGTCAATCATTGTCAATGCCACGCCCCCATAAGCCACGCCCCATTATCTGCTGCCAATCATTCCCCAAACACACCCCAGTATATGTCAATCATTCACAAGCCACGCCCCATGCAGCTGCTGTCAATCATCTTTAAACCCCACCCATGCAGCTCCTGTCAATCATTCCCAAGACACACCCCCACTTACCTGTCAATCATTCACAAGCCACGCCCCATGCAGCTCCTGTCAATCATCCTTTTACCCTTCCCACGCCGCTGTCAATCACCCTATACCCCGCCCACCAACACAACCTCTGTCAATCACCCCTGAGCCCCGCCCAGCCATCAATCAACCCCTCAAGCCCCGCCCTCCGCCTCATTTAGCCCCGCCCCTTCCAGGCCCCGCCCACCCGCCGCTCTCCGCCTCCTTCCGCTTCCTTCTCGCGGTTCCAGCAGCGCCGGCGCGCGCCGGGGGCGGGGCTTTGCCCGGAGTCCGACATGGCGGCGGCTCCGGGGGCCCCGAGCGGCTCCCGGACGCTCCCGGGAGGCTTCGGGAAGGTTCTGGAAGCTCCCACCAGCTCCCGGAAGGTTCCGGAAGGTTCCGTGGGGGGGTTTCCCCGAGCCCCTGACGGAGCTTCCGGGTTCTTTTCCCGCCTCCCGGCGCGCGCGCGGAGCGTGAGGGGAAAGGAGGGGGCGTGGCCTCTCCGAGGGGATACCGCGCATGCGCGGGAGCGCTGGGGGGGCGTGGCCCGCGGGCCGCGCGTGCGCGGAAAAGAGGGCGTGGCTTCTATTTAAAGGGCCAGCGGCGCTTTTAAAATAAGATTGGGGGAGGGGGGCGGAGCGGCGGCGCGCGCGTTTTGCACCACGTGACCCGCGCTGCCGCCGCCGCCCCTCCCCCCACCCCCG